TGCCTGTCCCTTGAAGTGGGGTGGCTGAGAGGACCCAATGAGCCAATGTGTGTCAAGTGCCCTGCTCCGTGCCAGCACAGAGAGGACTGAGCAATCTTAGCTCTCATTGTCCCACCTGCCTGATCAGATGCCAAGATTCAGAGTGATGTGGAGACCCTGAGAGCAACTTTCAGCAACTTCACTTCCAACTCGATGGCTGAGGTCCAGGCACTGCACTCCCAGGGTGAGCCTGGCTGGAAGGGGCTCTGGATGGCAGGGGTCGTGGTGGGGTAGAGGGGACTGGTTCCTGAGCACTGAGTCCCCACATCCTCCAGGTGCCAGTTTGCAAACAACAATAACATCTCTGAAAGCTGTGGTGGAAAACCAGGAGCAGGAGCTGCAAGCAGGTGAGAGGCCCTCCGGGAGTGAGTGTGCAAGGGTGGGGGCTGGGTTCTCAGGACAGAGGCTGGGTGGGCACAGCCTGGGGTGCTGAGTGCCCTCCCCTCCAGCCCGCAGCCTGAATGACAAGGTGTTTTCTCTGGAGAGCAAGCTGGAGAGAGAGCAGCAGGAACTCAAAGCAGGTCAGGCCCCTCCTCTCCTGCCCCTGGGCCTGATATGGTGGGAGGGGATGGAGGGCCCTCAGCTGGGCCCCTGCATTGTGTCCACTGCCCTTCTGTGTGTCCCAGGTCATTCTGAAATGCTCCTGCAAGTCCAGCAACTCGGCAACGGCCTTAACTCCCTGAATTGTCAGATGGCTGCGCTCAAGAGCAATGGTGAGTGGTGGAGGGCAGTGCCTAGCCCCATATTCTGCCCATGTGGGGCAGCATATCAGATCCTCCTCCCTTTCCACGTCAGGCTCTCAAAATACCTGCTGTCCCACTAACTGGCTGAAGCATGAAGGCAGCTGCTACTGGTTCTCTGGTACTGGGAAGCCCTGGCCCGAAGCTGAGAGGTACTGCCAGCTGCAGAATGCCCACCTGGTCGTCATCAACTCCAGAGAGGAGCAGGTGAGGGCTCAGGTCTGAGCTCAGATCCTGGGAACTGGCCCCACTAAGGAAACGGTTCTCCACTCTTGCTGCACACTGGTATCACCAGGGAGCTTTAAAACCATGGCGATGTGAGCCACACCTGAGGGATTTATAATCATGGGCCACACAATGACATTTCAGCAAGGATGGACCAAAGAGATAACAGTGGTCTCATAAGATTAGACTAGAGCCGAAAATTCCATTCACCTGGTGGGCAGTAGCCGTCATGGTGTAGTGTAGCACATTGCTCAGGTGTGTGTGCTGATGCTGGTGTGAACAGACCTACCTCACTGCCAGTCATATATGTAAAAGCACCGCACTTACAATTATGCACAGTGTAGTGTACTTGAAAATGGTAATAAACAACTGTTACTGATTTATGCATTTATGATACTACTTGAGGCCCGATGCATGAAGATTCATGCACATTAAAAGGGGATTGATTAGAGGAAATATTTTAATATTGCTATTATCCCTTTCTCTATAATAGATGTGTCAGAGATGAAAGAAAATTATTAAAATGTGCATGAAAATCTTCCTCCTGTCAGAGTCTGGGGTGCACTGCAGGACCCAAAGACAAGTCGCTGCCCACCCATGGCACCTCAAAATGGCACAATTCCCAGACCCAGCCGGCCCCAACCCCGTTTGGCGAGATCCAGACCTGGCTGGCCCCACCCTTGTCAACCCCGCTGGGCGGGGGGCACAGCCTCAGGTCCCCTGGCCTGGTGCCAGGTGGGGTGTGGGGCCTTAGGTTCCCTGTCAAGCCCTGCCGGGTATGGGGCACGGCCTGAGATCCCCCACCTTGGCGCCAGGGTGGGGGGCGTGGCCTGAGGTTCCCCTGTCAAGCCCCACTGGGTGGCGGGCACAGCCTCAGGACCCTGCTGATTGCTCATTAAGGCTCAAAATGCTGACACACCAAACTCAAAATGTTCACCATCACTGCTCTATGATGTTGGCACAATGATGGTATCGCCAGTCTCTGTTGTTAAAGCAGAGTTTGACGGCAATTGGCCTGGGCCTTGGGATAAACAGCCCAAATCCTCTCAACTGATATAATGTACATGTGAAGTTCAGAACCCCTAGTCCAAGGAGTTGGGGAGAAGACATCATTGTCATTCTGTCATCCCAGATTTTTGTCCAGAAGCACATAGGCTTCTCATACACCTGGATGGGCCTCAGTGATCCTGAAGGAGCCTGGAAATGGGTGGATGGAACAGACTATGAGACCAACCTCAAGTGAGTACATTGGCTTTCTGTGCTCTTCCTCCCCTCCTCGAGGATCTGACCTACAGCCTCTTCTCCCCACCCCCACTCTGTTTTATCTGACTTTCCCAACTTGCTGTTGCCTTTCCCCCTCAGGAACTGGAAGCCGGGCCAGCCAGATGACTGGCAGGGGCACGGGCTGGGTGGAGGTGAGGACTGTGCCCACTTCCACCCGGATGGCAAATGGAATGACGACGTCTGCCTGAGGCTCTACCGCTGGATCTGTGAGGCCAGCATTAGCAGGTCCAGATAGGAGTGTCTTAGAGCTGCTTCCTGTGGACCATCGAGCCATGGACATGGCAGGGATGGGGGCAAGATTCTTCCCCAGACACTCCTAACAAGATCTCTGTGGGAGAGAAATAAGCCCTGGGAGATTGGAGCACTGCCATCATTTTGAACTTTTTTCTCCTTAACTTTCAAAGATTATATAGAGTTCCTAAGGTGTTTTTAAAAATTGAATTTCAGCTTTATTGAGGTATAATTGACATATAAAACTTTAAGTTACTTATAGTATACATGGTTGTGATTTGATATGAATAGTAAAGGAAAGACCCCATCTAGTTAATGAACACACCCATAATTTTACATATTTATTTTTTTGTATGAATACTTAAGTTCTATTGTCTTAGCAAATGTCACTTATACTATACAGTGTTATCAACTATAGTCACCACGTTTTACATTAGAGCCTCAGACCGATTCATTTTGTAACTGAAAGTCTGTACCCTTTTGCCAACCTCTCCATATTTTATACCCCCACCACCCAGGCAACCACTTTTCTACTATTTCTTACTATGAATATGATATTTTCAGATTGCACATATAAGTGATGCCATGCAGTATCTGTCTTTCTTGGTCTGGCTTATTTCACTTGGTATAATGCCCTCAAAGCCCATTCATGTTGTGGCAAATGGCAGGATTTCCTTCTACCTCGTGAATGAATAATATTTCATTACTCATATATACCACATCTTCTCTATCTATTCATCCACTGATGAACACTTAGGTTGTTCCCATATCTAGGCTATGGTTAATAATGCTACAATGAACATGGGATGCAGATAAACCATTTTCACTTCATTTGCATATATTCCCAGAAGTGGGATTGCTGGATCATATGGTAGTTCTATTTTTAATTTTTGCAGAAAGCTCCATATTATTTTTCACAGTGGTTGCACCAATTTACATTCCCACCAGTAGTACATAAGAGTTCCCTTTCGCTTTGCCAACCCAGATTTGTAACCTTAAAAATGAACTTTATTGAGATACAATTCTCACATAGTAAAATGAACTCATTGAAAGAGTAGAGATGACTTTTGAGAAATATAAATACCTACGTAGTCTATAGATCAACTGGGTGTTTTTTGGTCTGACAAGGCTTGACTCACCTTCGCTGGTCTCATTCATGCATTTGAGGCCAGCTGGTGGGTTGGCTGGGAGCTGGTCTAGGACAGTCTCACTTCCATGTCTGACCTTTGGCTGGCTACAGGCTGGGAGAATGGGGATGACTGGGTCATTTTAGGCTAGCCTGGGCTGATTCGCATTCTGCCTTTGGACAGGGTTCCAAAAGAGTAACCGGAAGAGTGCAAGGACTCTGCAGTCTTAGTTTTGGAACTAAAGCATCACTTCTGTTAACTCCTGTTGGCCAAAGTAAATCACAAGGCAGCCCCGCTTCTAGGAGTCAGGAAATAGAACACCTTTTGATGGGAGGAGCTACAAAGTCATAATGTGGAGAGAATGGATATAGGGAGGCATGGAGATTGCTATGTTTTTCAATCAAATGGCATACAGGGGAAGCATATTGGGACACCCTGTAAAGAACCAGCCCATAACTAAAGGTTCCCATTAAGAGAGGCCAGGACCCATGCATTCGGGTATTACTTGCACTCAGACAACTGCCTGGCATATAGAATGGTGTCAATTAAAATTAATAACAATACCGAGGCTCAGCTGGCATGGCTTAGTGGTTGAGCGTCAACCTAGGAACCAGAAGTTCACGATTCGATTCCCAGTCAGGGCATATGCTTGAGTTACAGGCTGGATCCCAGTTTGAGGCGGTGCAAGAGGCAGCTGATCAAGGATCCTCTCTCATCATTGATGTTTCTATCTCTCTCTCCCACTCCTTTCTTCTCTGAAATCAATAAAAATATTAAAAAAATAAAGAGGTTGATATCAGAGGGAAAGTATGGGAAGGACAAAATTATCCCCTGGAGGCAGCACAACCTCACGTTTCCCTGCCCACCAGCAACACATGAAAATCATCAGACTGGGTACCTGGTGAATCACTGAGGAACTTCTTCATGCAAGTCCTCAAGCTCTTTCAGTGACTGAACCTAACCGGCAGCCAGAATGCAGAGGCAGTGGAAGCACACCTTGGAGTGTCTTAGGCCTTTTGCTGACCTGTGCCTGCGCTTGATGATGTTGGAAGCCAGCTTTGGGGCACATCTTGACCCCTGCCATGCATGCCCAGGCCCAATAGAGACAGCCACAAATGGTGGATTGCTTTGTTTCTCCAAACAGGTAGCCCAGGGCCAGCCACAGGCAGCATCTGACATCAACATACACTGGGGTCCCTCCCAGGATGTCCCAGAAGAAACACATCTAGTGGTGGGCTTCAGTCCACATCAGAGCAGGACCCACTTAGCTCCATAAGTAGCATATTCAGAGGGAGATCTCAGCAGGCAGCAAACCCTGCTGGGGTGAATTCCACTTAATGTGGTCAGCACCCAGACAGCATCTCACATACTATGGGTTGAGATTAATTCTCACAGTCAGCCACTCTGAGGTTCAAGCCTATACATGGAGGGGCCAAGAGCAATCAAAACTCAACCACAACAGGATAGCTTACATAACCCACACAAGGAACATTCCCAGAGCACCTTGCTCAGGTTATAAGGGAGACTGTGTAACTGAGCCCCACAGGAAAACTACTACATAAGACCACCATACCAAGACTGGAAATCATAGCAGACCTACCTAATGCATAGAAACAAATACAGAGAGGCAGCCAAAATGGGGAGAGAGACCTGCAAGCATTCTCAGTGGTTAGAGCTTCAGCTCACACACGAAAGGGTGGTGGGTTCAATTCCTGATCAAGGGCATATACCTGGGTTGCAGATTCAATCCTCGCCCAATTAGGGGCACATGTGGGAGGCAACCAATTGATGTCTCTTTCTCACAATGGTGCTTCTCTCTCTCTCTTCCCTCCCCATTCCCTTCCACTCTCACTAAAAATTAGTGGAAAAAATGTCCTTGGGTGAGTATTAAAAACACCAACAAAAAATTAAAAATGGGGAGACAAAGAAACATCCCCAGATAAAAGAACAGGAGAAATTCCCAGAAAAAGAACTAAATGCAATGGAGGCAAGCGATCTACCACATACAAAGTTCAAACCAATGATTATAAGGATGCTCGAGGAACTTAGGGGAAGAACCAATGAACTCAGTGAGAAAATAAACAAGGAGATAGTAAGCATAAAAGAGCACATAGAAACTATAATAAAGAACCAGTGAGAAGTGAAGAATACAATATCTGAAATGAAGAATTACACTTCAAAGGAAGGTATAAATTGTGGGTTAGGTGAAGCAGATGATCAAATAAGTGATTTGGTAGACAAGGTAGCAAGAAACAACCAATCAGAACAGAAAAAGAAAATGATAATTAAAAAAAATATGGATAGTCTAAGGCAGCGGTTCTCAACCTGTGTGTCGTGACACCTTTGGCGGTTGAATGACCCTATCACAGGGGTTGCCTAAGACCATCCTGCATATCAGATATTTAGATTATGATTCATAACAGTAGCAACATTAAAGTTATGAAGTAGCAACGAAAATAATTTTATGGTTGGGTCACAACATGAGGAACTGTATTTAAAGGGCCAGAAGGTTGAGAACCACTGGTCTAAGGGAGCTCTGGGACACCATGAAGGATAACAATATCCACATCATAGGGGAACCAGAAAGAGAAGAAAGCAAGAAATGGAGAACCTTTTTGAAGAAATAATGATGGAAAACTTCCTAAACCTGGTGAAGGAAAAAGACACACAAGTCCAGGATGCAAAGAGAGTCCCAAATGAGATGAATCCAAAGGGGTTCACATCAAGACACATCATAATAAAAATGGCAAAGGTTACAGACAAAGAAAGAATTAAAAGCAGCAATAGAAAGACAGTTAATTACCTAAAAGGAGCTCCCATAAGACTGTCAGCTAATTCCTCAAGAGAAACATTTCCGGCCAGAAGGGATTTACATGAAATAGTCAAAGTTATGAGAAACAAAGACCTACAATCAAGACTACTCTAACCAGCCAGGCTATTATTTAAAACTAGAGGCCCAGTGGTTGAATTTGTGCATGGGTTGGGTCCCAGCTGCCCGCAGTGCAATGGCGGGTGGGAATTGTGGGCTGCGGCCGCCTGTGGTGCTGCGATGGGAGGGAGCTGTGGGCATAGAGCTATGCTGCCATCTGACTGGCCTCTGGGTTCCTCCCCCGCCCGCAGGATCAGTGGAACCGGAGCCATGCTGTAATGCGACTGGACCCTACCTGATGGGTCCCGGATTGTGAGAGGGTGCAGGCTGGGCTGAGAGATAACCCCCCACCACACCCCCCAAGTGCACAAATTTTCGTGCACTGGGCCTCTAATATTATATATTTAGTACTCATTTATTGTATCTGTCACCCACCAGAATTGAAGTTCTATGAGGGCAGGACCACTTCTATCTGTTCACAGTTCACACTGTTCTCCCTTTGCCTAAAACTAGGGTGAGTGTCTGGGAGGGAAAATCCTGTGTACCAGCCCTTTAAAAAAGGGGCTTTGTCCCTGGGTGGTTCATGTCTCTGGCTACTAAAAGCACAGATGCTGGTTGGTGTGTGGTGGCTATTGCCAGTTCTGGCTGTCCAGGTTGGTGTGCCCTGCCTGGTGTTCAGGCCTCTCTCCTCTCTTGGGGAACCCTCTGCTCCCTTGTCCTGCAGCTCCTGGTGGTGGGCCAGTGCCCATTGGCTCCTTGCCTTTCCTACCAGTTTTGAGGAGGTCTCTGCCCTTCCTAGTTTAAAAGTCTCCTCTTCAGCCAGTCTTCAGCTGGTATTTTAGGGTGACTATTCCCCAATTTAGTTCAGTTCTAGTTAAATTCTGGGAGGAGGTGGGAGAAAGACCCACCTACTTCACTGCCATCTTCCAATTCCTCCTCCCATGGTCCTGTGGGAACTGAATGGTTAATGTGATGCTCAGTCAAAGTTTGTTCATGTCCTCAGATCCTCCTGTCCCAATCTGGCCAGGGGTCCTACTGTCCTTCACCCTGTTCCCTCCTTCTGGGAAGAGTGAGCAGAGCCAGGCCAGAGCTGGGGGAGCTTGGTGACTCAGGCCCCAGAGGAGGCGCTGATGCCGGGGACTTGGGTTATGCTTGAGGAAGAACTGAGAAAAAGGCTCTTCTGGATCTGGGTGTGCAATGGTGGAGGCACTGTCAATAATGGAAAATGCTGATGCAGGAAGTGAAAGGTTGTGTGGGGCAAAGAAGAAGCAACAAACTGTACCTGTGGACCCCTCTGGGAGGGGTTCCTCTCCACAATGGCAACAATGAGGAAGTCAAGGGAGTTCAGTAGAAGTTGAAAAGGACCAGACACACCCTGGAGGAGCAGGGGTGAGGTGGGGGGAGCAAAGCTGGCCTTATATATAACTTCTTCACTTGCACAATCTCTGCCTGGGTTCCAATGATCATTTATTGCCAAAGTTGAGGGAAAGGAAGATCCCAGGTTACAGAATCCTGGGCTTTTAGACACAGAGACCAGCAGGACTCCAGCCACTGACCTGAATCCTCCCTCGCTCACCTCTACCCCACTCTCCAGGATTTCATTTTATCCAACTCTGCTCATTGCTGCAAGGCAAACCCAAGAATCACAGCCTCCAGACTTTGCACAGGTAACTTTGCTGGGGATGCAGGTGAGACCAAGGGGACAGGGAGGGAGTTAGAGAAAGCAGGGAGGGGGGCTGTGGGTCTCAACTGGGACTGAATAGGAAGAGATATAAAAGGGCAGCTTGGAGATTCAATGAGCTGATGGAGATTTCAGACTCTATTCACTTAACTGGATTTGGGTTGCCCCATCTCTAGCAGAGTTCCAGCCCCATCTACAGCCTCCAGGTTAGACGCAGCTCTAACCCCATTACAAACACTAGCACCAACCCAACTCTTCAATTTCCAACATCAACACCAAACTTAGGCCCCACTCCATCCATGGCATCAACACCAGTATTGACTCCAGTCCTAGGAGGAGACACAACCTTACTTGCATCCCCAATGTAAGACTCAGTACTAGTAATTCCTTTAATTCCAACTCTACCTTTACCTTCAATCTCACATTCAAGCCATCCCCAACCCAAAGACCAATCCTGACCTTATTTCCAACCTCTGCTGCAAACCCAGGCCCATTCCCATTCGTATCCCTAACCCCTGGTTCATCCTCAACCTGAACGTCTTCCCTTACCTCAACTCCAGCCCTGACTTCAGCTCTAACCTAGTTTCAGCCTTCCCTGTCTCCTATCTCCAGCCTCAGCCTGGTCACTGGCCCTGCCTCCATTTCAGCTCGGACAGCCTCAGAATTGGTCCAAGGATGTCAATGAACTATGAAGACCTCCAGTCCTTGGAGAGTGAGAAAAAAAGCCAGGGTTCTAGAAAGGGTAAGAGGAAAGGAGAAATGATGTCTCCTAAAATACTCTCTTAATATGTTTAGAAGGATTTCTACTGTCAGTATATCTGCACCTCTACCATGTGCACTGCTGGGGTCCCGGACACTGCTGGTGTTAGGCTCTCGCTCCTGGTGGTTGCAATATGAAGCGGATTCGAGAAGGACAGGATCAGGGTGGACCAAAGCAGTCCTGGATGCTATACTCTGGGGAAGGTCATGAGCATTTACACTGGGAGAGTGAATAGTCATGTTTGGAAGAAAAACGGTGGCTAACCTGACAATACAGATAAGCACGAGCCTGCTGAGGGCCTGGCTGCCCTGGCTCACTCTGTGTCCTCCTGCCCCCTGTTCCAGGCCTGATGATAAGACCTTACATATCATCATCATGTGTTTCCCGGGGAGAGGGGTTCTTTGTGACTGAGAACTTGTGCTGGTCCATGAGGGGTGAGATGCCTGGGCATCCCCTGCACCACAACCTCTCCCCAGCTTTACCTGCACCACTCTTCATCCCTGACAGGTCCCTGTGGCCCTCTGCTCCTCCCCCGTGTCTCTCCTGTCCTCAACCTCCATGTCCTGATGTCCTCTCCTCTTGCAGGGCTGCCTCCTCCCCCAGCCTTCCTGCAGCATCTCTGCTCTGGCCCCTGGCCCCTTCTGCTCTCTCTGGGCCTCATCCTTCTCCTGATGATTGGCATCTGCGTGATTGGATCCAAAAGTGAGTGTCCCAGGAAGGGCAGGGAAGGGGGCGACAGTGGGGTACAGGAACCCAGGCACTGATGATGATCATGGTGGGTAAAGATGGCTGCTGGCTCTGTTGCTTACTCATGGGTAATGTAGTCCAAGTGCCCAACCTCTGGAAGCCTGAGTTTCCTCTCTGTAAGTTTGGATAACAACAGTGCCTGTCCCTTGAAGTGGGGTGGCTGAGAGGACCCAATGAGCCAATGTGTGTCAAGTGCCCTGCTCCGTGCCAGCACAGAGAGGACTGAGCAATCTTAGCTCTCATTGTCCCACCTGCCTGATCAGATGCCAAGATTCAGAGTGATGTGGAGACCCTGAGAGCAACTTTCAGCAACTTCACTTCCAACTCGATGGCTGAGGTCCAGGCACTGCACTCCCAGGGTGAGGCTGGCTGGAAGGGGCTCTGGATGGGAAGGGTCCTGGTGGGGGAGGGGGGCTGAATTCTGAGCACTGAGTCCCCATGTCCTCCAGGTGGCAGTTTGCAAGCAACAATAACATCTCTGAAAGCTGTGGTGGCAAACCAGGAGCAGGAGCTGCAAGCAGGTGAGAGGCCCTCAGGAGTGAGTGTGCGAGGGTGGGGGCCGGGCTCTTAGGACAGAGGTGGGGTGGGCGCAGCCTGGGGTGCTGAGTGCCCTCCCCTCCAGCCCGTAGCCTGAATGACAAGGTGTTTTCTTTGGAGAGCAAGCTGGAGAAAGAGCAGCAGGAATTCAAAGAAGGTCAGGCCCCTTCTCCCCTGCCCCTGGGCCTGATATGGTGGGAGGGGATGGAAGGCCCTCAGCTGGCCCCCTGCATTGTCCCCACTGCCCTTCTGTGTGTCCCAGATTATTCTGAAATGCTCCTGGTAGTCCAACAACTGGTCAAAGACCTGACCTCCCTGCATTGTCAGCTGGCTGCGCTCAAGAGCAATGGTGAGTGGTGTGTAGGGCAGCACCTAGCCCCATATCCTGCCCATGTCCCACTGGGCAGCATCTCAGAACCTCCCCACTCTCACCTCAGACTCTCAAAATACCTGCTGCCCCATTGGCTGGCTGGAGTATGAAGGCAGCTGCTACTGGTTTTCTCGCTCTCTATTGACCTGGCCTGAGGCTGAGAAGCACTGCCAGCTGGAGAACGCCCACCTGGTGGTCGTGGGCTCCCGGAAGGAGCAGGTGAGGACTGGGAGAGCTTGTTTGGGAAGCTGGTTGGTCTACTTGAAGTCACTGCCCTCATCGTCTCTCCCCAGAATTTTCTTCAGCAACACATGTACCCTGTGGACACCTGGATTGGCCTTACTGACCAACATGGTCCCTGGACATGGGTGGACGGGACAGACTATAAGACCGGCTTCCAGTGAGTGTGTGTGCTCTGTACTCTGTTCCTTTGTCCTGGATCCTGCTATTCCTGCTGGGTGTTTTTGAGGCAAGAGGGACTCCTCGGCTTGGCTGAGGCTCCGGCTTCCAGGGTCCACATCTGTTTGCTCTCATTAGGAACTGGAGTCCAACGCAGCCAGAAAATCGGTACTACGATGGGAAAGAGGACTGTGCCCACTTCAGGACCGATGGCCAATGGAACGATAACCTGTGCGTGATGCCCTTCCACTGGGTCTGCGAGACAGAGCTGAGCAGATCCAGCTCCTAGCCTCCTCTCCCCTAGTCTATTTCCTTTATGCTTTCACCTGCTGAGGGAACCTGGCTAGGGATTCTTTTTTCTGGGGGGCCTCCTGCATCACCCCAGGCGTTTTCATCTAGGATTTGAAGGGAAGGGGAGGGGACGATGTGAGAGGAATGCAGAATGATGTTTGATGGGGTGGGTAGATGAAAAACCACGCCACTCTCTGCAATTTGCAGGTTATTATTGTCAACTTTTTTCGAATAAAAAGAAGAGAAAGATACTAAACATTTTGTGCTGTCTGGTGATTGGGGGTTAGGAATGTGCTGCGGCTTGTTGGCACTAGGAAGCCTTGCGCAGGCAGCGGGGCATTGGGAAAACTGTATGAGTTTTGGGTCAGATGGTGGGATTGGTTACTTACAGGGCAAGTAGCTCTGCTCTCTGAGTCTCAGCTGTAAAACAGTGTTGTTGCTGGAACCATCCTCTTTCCAGAGCCTCTCAGAACAGAGCCACCCCTGTGTGCCGGAAGCCAATTCCAGGGTGTCAGCAGGGCTGAACCAGCTGGGAATGGCTGAGGGCATTTCCACAAACCTGAAAAGGACACATAAATGATTGTTTGCTGCCAGACAGCTGAGGGCATTGCAATCTACATGTTATTGCCTCCTGCTGACCAAACACCTGAACAGCCGTAGGCAGTTCCCCCAGTCTGACAATGGATTCTGTATACCAAACCTTTACTGCGAATTTAAAGGTGACCTCCTGGTTCATAAGTCAACACTCACCATGGAGTCACAACAGCCGGGCTTGCTTTGATTCAGGTCTTAAAGTTAGCTAAGGATCTTGAAAATTATGTTTCAGCTGACACACCATAGAATTAAATTGTTATCAACAGAATATTTTAAAGATTATAATTCAATTTAGCTTAATACTTTTTTCAAATATTAAATGCTTATATTATACTCCACACTGATCAAATTAGGAAAAAGACATATAGCTGTTTATAAGCCAAAAAATTTATTAAACCAATTTGATCTTGTGGACTTAGATTTTTATGGAGAAATGCTTTTAAGCAAATGATTTCTGTGAGAGTGATGTTTCTACAAGTTTGAACATTCAGCATATTGAAAGTTGTTTCTTTTAGAAGATTTCTGTTAGGTTAGGTTGCTCAGGAGGCGGCGAAGGAAATAAAGAGAGTTGATCGGAAAAGGAAGGAAGGAAGGAAAGTTTATTCTGCGTCCCCGGGAGACCCACGTACTCCCAAAGACAGGGCACATGGGTTCAGGCCAACAGGGAGAGGAGCGCTTTTTTTATACTGCGGTTGGGTGAGGGGCGGGGACATGAGCTGAGGTATTGGGCTGAGGAAGTTTCAGCTGCAGGGGGTCAGCAAGGTATTCAGGAAGGAGTCAATATCTGTGTGGGGGTCGTGGAGAAGCCAGTATCTGTGTCTGGCATGCTGATCTGTTAGAAATGCCAGGGGAGTCCATTATCTCATCAAACGTCTGCATGTATCCGATCCTGGGCTCTCTCTAACCTAACTGAAAGGGCGAGTCATCGCGGGGCCTATGTGGGCCGGCCGCCGGGCCCCATGAGGCACAGCCTGACCACGCTGCTGGCGGCCTCGGGCACCGACTCCCCAGCCCATGGCGGGAGCCCGGTGCAGGCCGCCACCCGCCCGCCGCCCCCAGACCCACATGGCAGCAGCGGCGGCGGGGCGGGGCTCGTGCCCTCGCCAGAGGAGATGGAGGAGGAGGCGATCGCCGGCGCCCCCAGGAACGAGATGGAGGATATGGACTTCCTGTCTGGGCTGGAACTGGTCAATCTGCTGGACCCCCGGCAACCGGACTGGCCCCTGGAGCCCGGGCTCAGCTCGCCCTGGGGGGAGGCTAGGACTGCACCCTCCATCTTGCCCTGGGTCCTCCATTTTTGGGGCGGCCGCCATGTGCTCAGGAGAGTGCCTTCTTCCCGGAAGCCCAGGCCCTGCTGGCCACGCCCGGGATTTCTTTAAACTAACCAATGACAATCAAGGGACGTGCGCACCATAGAGATGACCACATCCTGTGTAACAAGACCCGACTCGCGCCTGGCCAATCGGCGGGGCCCACAGTCCCCTCCCCTGCTCTTACTATAAAACCCACAATCCCATCAGGCCTCGCTCTCTCTCGGCCACTGGGGCTTACCGTTGCATCGGTGAGTGTGGTTGGGGAGCCGAACTAGTTCGAAATGAAGGACTCTTTGCTTTTGCATCGGACTCGCTGGCTCCCTGGTGAGCTTTTTGGGAACCTTGAAATCTGGGCACAACACTAACAATTTCTAGGACAATTAGATTTATGCAAGTGTGTTAGTAATCCAGAATATCTTTTATTCTCACCCAATGAGAAATAATGACTTCTCTTAATTTCAGTCGCACAAAGACCCTGTAGCTGCCTGGCCGGCAAAGCTCAGTGGTTGAGTGTTGACCTATGAACCATGAGGTCACGGCCCCATTCCCAGTCAGGTCACATGACCAGGTTGCAGGCTCAATCTCCAAAGTGGGGGGTGCAGGAGGCAGCCTATCAATGGTTTTCTCTCATCATTGATGTTTCTATCTCCCTCTTCCTCTCCCTTCCTCTCTGAAATCAATAAAAAAATATTTTTTTTTAAAAAAGTCTGCAGCTTCCATTCTACAACTTCAGCCTTGGGTCCAAAGTAAACACAGAAATACAAGGACTCATTAATCCAAGAAAGTGAGGCAGGAACTGGGAAGAAAGTGAAGCAAGGACTGGGAGGAAAGTGAGGCAGGGACTGGGAGGAAACTGAGGCAGGAACTGGGAGGAAAGTGAGGCAGGAACTGGGAAGAAAGTGAAGCAAGGACTGGGAGGAGAGTGAGGCAGGGACTGGGAGGAAAGTGAGGCAGGAACTGGGAAGAAAGTGAAGCAAGGACTGGGAGGAAAGTGAGGCAGGAACTGGGAGGAAAGTGAGGCAGGGACTGGGAAGAAAGTGAAGCAAGGACTGGGAAGAAAGTGAAGCAACGCCGGGACCGGTTTGGCTCAGTGGATAGAGCGTCGGCCTGCGGACTGAAGGGTCCCGGGTTCGATTCCGGTTGGGGGCATGTACCTGGGTTGCGGGCACATCCCCAGTGGGAGATGTGCAGGAGGCAGCTGATCGATGTTCCTCTCTCATCGATGTTTCTGACTCTCTATCTCTCTCCCTTCCTCTCTGTGAAAAATCAATAAAATATAAAAAAAAAAGAAAAAAAGAAAACAAAAGAAAGTGAAGCAAGGACTGGGAGGAAAGTGAGGCAGGGACTGGGAGGAAAGTGAGGCAGGGACTGGGAGGAGGGCACAATAGCTGTTCAAGGTGGCACAGTAATGCATAAACCAGGGTCCTGCACCTCTTGTGACTTTAAGGCTCGCTTACTATCTCACAAGAGTACTTCATTAAGAAGTCTGTTGCTTAATTTTTGGAAACCTCCCTAACTGGCCCTCAAGTTATGCAAATGAACCCTCTATAATGCAAAGGTCCTCTTCTGAAAAAAGGATTTTGGGCCCAAGAAGATAAGACAGCTCTGTGAGTGAGCATTTTAAAGTGTGTCTAAGTTGTCTTTGGGAAAAATGAATCTTGGCTAAGGACGAAATGAGACTGTGGAAGGAATGGTGTGGTATTTTATCTGTTTTTGTTGGAGTCTTTTACTGGTAGGGCTCATCAGCTATAAAGTACAAACAAAACTGGAACACGGTTATGAAATAAAAGAGCGTTTGTTATAAGAATACAGAGGTGTTTCACAGAACCCAAGAGCAGGGTGGCATCTGAGGCCCTGAACAGAGTGGAAATAGGAGCTGGAACCCTTTTCTGGCTTTTTTATTTTTATTTTTTTTACATTATTTACTTAATTTAAATTGCTTCAAATTCATTAATGCAAAAGTAGTAATAACATACTATGGGGTTCATACAGTATTTAGAATTATTATTAGTCCTTAATTGACAACAATAACAAATTATGGGAGAGCAGAAAAGAATACATTTTTAAAAATAATTCAATGCTTTTAAATTTTTATTTATTTAACTGTACCTTTATTGTTGAAAGTATTGCAGATGTCCTCTTTCCCCCCGAGTGGTCGCCCTCCCTCTGCCCCGCCTCCTCTTCCCCCCTCGCCCCTCCCAGGCCTTCGTGCACTGGTATCTGCGTGCATGGGCCCTGCACACAGGCACACATGTTCTTTGGTTAGTCTCTTGTGGGAGCACTTCCTCCTGAGACTTTCTTGCTTTCTGGCAGCTGATCACCACTCCGCGTCATTCTTTGCTTCACTGCGGCCATCTTTGTTTCTGTGTCAATTTTTCAGTCATTTAAAAATTTTCTACGTTTTTATGATGCTTTGACATCTGGCAGATAACCCCAATCTATATGAATTCTTTTCTTTTTTAAAAAAATATATTTTTTTATTGATTTCAGAGAGGAAGGGAGAAGGAGTAAGAGAAATATCAATGATGAGTGAGAAATATTGATCGACTGCCTCCTGCACACAGCTTACTGGGGATCAAGCCCGCAACCCGGGCACGTGTCCTTGACCAGAATCAAACCTGAGACCCTTCAGTCTGCAGACTGACGCTCTATCTGCTGGGCCAAACTGCTTAAGGCTGAGTGCTCTTCTTGAGTGCCCCTTCACCTGGCTGGTGAAAAACCACCATGGGACCAATGCAAAAACAGAGGTAAATGTCTTTAAAAGAAATTTTACTTTAGAAAAATTTATTTGTATAGTCTGTCCTCAAGAAAAATTACATAAGAGTTGGAAGACACAAAAGAAAATAGCAAAGAGTAAAACATACCACAGTCAAAAGAAGAAATAAATAAAGAAGAAATCACAGAGAACACTGAAGCTATAAAAATAACCTTAAAATCACATAAACCCACATCTGAAGTTTGGAGTAGGGACTTGAGAAAATATACATAATGCAGAGAGAAAAGGGCGGGGGAAGAAGGATAATAAACTTAAATAACAGGAAGGTGGAAACTCTGTATGACAGAGTTGGAAATACAGAATTTGGGTAATAGTCTCCAACTAGAAGAAAATAACAAATGTAGTAGAAAAACCCCCATTCAATCATATGACATAAGCCTATTAAAATGGAAATGGGAATATATGTTAGTCACGATATTTAGAAAACCTGAAATATAGGCATTAGACATATTCGAAGGAAACCATAACCCTAGTGAAGGACATAAAGAAAGATCTAAACACATAGATAATCATATTTTACTATTGGGTAGGAAGACTTAATTTAATAAAACTGTCAATTCTCCCAGTATGTCA